GATGTTGCCTCAGGGCAGACGATACTCGGGCGTTCACGCGCCGCATCATCTCCTCCCAGTTTCGTAACATCTTTCGCTGGCACATATCAAGCTGTTCCAGCTGTTGTGCCGTCAGTGCCAACGTAGAAGGTCCGAACAGCGCCGTAGGAGTTACCACATTCAATCTGCCTTCGCGTGTTCACGAAGATGGATCACTTTTTGAACTTTCCATAACTTTCCCCATGCTGCACTGATACGATGCGCCAGCTGCGTTCTTGATTGGTGTCGAGAGTCACCACAAATGTTCCGTCCAAGGTACATATGTGTGTCTCCGTCACTCAAGACCTAGATCACCCCCTCAGAGCAGCTTGCGCAAACACTGCATCACTGTGGTGCCGCCGCCAGCAGGACCGTAGAGGCAGCGAGGGGCCGCGCACCCGCCACACGCACGGCAGGTCCGGCAACCATTTCGCATGGCTTGTGGCGGGATGGTGGTAGCGTCGCCGCAAGGTATGGCAGAGAGCCACGCCCCAGCATGCGGCCCTGCTTGGGAGCGGAGCAGTGCACGCGAACTAGGCGGCAGGGAAGGCCGCCAAACGTGCGGCCAATCCCGGCACGTTTCGCTGAGCATCGACGGCAACGGGGTGGTGGGGGGGGGTTGGAAACTGCCGAGGGGGGGGTTGGAAACTGCCGAAAAAAATTATCCGACCCCCCCATCGAGATCCAGTGCAAAGACGCCAAAAACAGTGACAAACCATAATTCCCGAAACTTGGCAAACGAAAAGGGGCACCTCCCTATTTTTTCGGCACTTCTAGCCGAGTGCGATGCAGCGTCGACTACATGGCACCGTCATTGCGGCGGGCGTACGCCGCAGACGCGCGCTCGAGGACGACACGTGTTTGCATACATTAGAAGCGTGTCGACAGGCCCCCTATTTCCCCGTAAAAACAACTGCCCGACGGCGACGACGACCGAGAGCAAGCCCCACCATCGCCGTGCCCATCCCTGGGCCGTGGAGACGCGTGGGAGGGTAGCAGGCGTTCGCTGGACGCGGAGGCGAAGCAGCTGATGAACGAGGCGTTGGCTGTCCTCGTCTGCTTACCTCTGCCGGCACGAGCCGTTGCGGACTGCCCAGCTGAACGCGCGTCGGCACTTGGGACTGGGCGACTTCCTCACGTCATGGCCGAGACCCGCGTCGCTTCACAACCGAGCGCCTCACCACGCGCCGTTGCCCCGCACATCACTAAGTCCAAGCAGGCCACACGCCAGGCTCCGCCGCGACAGCAGCTGCCGATGCCGCCTCGTCGTTTCGGACTAGACCAGAAGTCGGCGCTGCTTCGCCTCGGCTTCATACGGCGCTTGGTGCGGGCCAAAGGCATGACTCGCGCTGCGTGGAGACCGCAGCTGATGCCTGATGCTCCCCTCGCACTTCACCACGCAGCGCTGCTCACAAACGTCCGCCTTGTGCGCAAAGGGGGTTGCACCGGGTCCAACTGGGCTGACGCACGGGCGACAACGAGTCCAACAGCGCGACCGACTATCGCGCTCGATGAGTAAAGCCATCCGCCAGAAATCATCAACTGCCCTACACGCTTCGCGCTGCCTGCCCGTGGAAACCTCGAGGCCACTGCAACTTCAGCCCTCGCTCTTCCGTGCCTTGTCTGCGCCGGCTTCGCCTGCCGCTTCCTCCAGCTGCAGCTGCCTGCAGATGCTGCGGCATCTATTAAATAACCTCGCGGATCACAAGCGACGTCAGGGAAGCGCTGGCGCAGAACTGGGAGGGCACCCGGCCAGGCCGCCCAGTATGCAGCCGGCGCAACCCTTTCCGCAGCGAACAAGCCCGGACCCCCCAAACTGGGCGGCAAGAAGATGCCGAGGCGCGCCGCAGTCCAGGCAGCCTCGGTGAGGTGGGAATTTTGCGCACAACGGGCTTGCACTTCATGGATCCGGGCTTCTGGCCCGACGCGGCTTCCCAGTGCATTTTGGTGTGGTCGGCAAGCAACAGCGAGAGGGCTTGCAAACTGCTGTGCTAGTGCGCGGGCAACAACGCGACGCAAGAAGTCCCCGACAACTAGGGCCGCACGTGCCACCATTGGGTTTGTGCAATGCGACAACACGCCCAAGTTCAAGGGTTGGTACTGGTACGATGTCTGGTGGCATACGGGCACACACTCTGATGCAACTTCAGCGAAGGCTTGGCTTGCGTCATCATCATCGAGCACGACGCATTTCCGCAGTGAAACGCGACTGGCTGGGGCTTTGCGCGCATGGCGGAGGTTGGCAAGCAAGGCTGGACGATGAAGCACAATGGAAACTGGTGGTCCCCACGCAGCAAGGTCTGGGTTGTGTGGGGGCGTCGTTCGGGACTGGCCAGGACATCGTACGTTTCTGCCAAGGTGGGCGAAGTGAACAGCGCTGCGAGCATGAGCAGCGGCATCGTTCTCTGGGGCCCTGATAGGTTGGGGCGAGGGCCTCATGCAACAACGGCACCCGTTGCTTGCGAGCACAAGTCCTGAACGCATTTTCCACCCTGTGTCCTTTGCTTCCAAAAGCACACTGCTGCTTTTGCAGGCAACTGGACCCACTCATCAAGGCGCACGCGAGAGCCCGAGACGGACGTCGGCATGCAGCAGGGACCCATCGTGCTGCATGCCGACGTCCGTCTCGGGCTCGCGCGTGCGCCTTGAAGACCTGAACAAACGTGCAGCCGTTTCTCGTGGCAGGGTCCTGGTTGCACAATGTGCGGTCGACACCAGCCGCGTGTCCGTATCTAATCGGGCAGCTCCAACCCAGCAGCCGGTGGCGTTTGGGGTGAAGTCGGCAGCCGGTACAACTGATTCAACTGATGCAGTCCTTGTTGCACGCAGGTTCGCTGACCACACCTGGGCCGCCACGGTGCGTCGGTGTTGCTGGCGCTCAGCAGGGCCAAAGCTTCCACACTCCCGACCGCGCGGCTTGGGGTCATTCCCTATCGCATGCTGATCGTTGCATTTCGTCGCCGTCGCCAATATTACTTGAGAGGGTTGGCACAACGTACCCTCAAGCACGCAAGGCCCTTTACACGCTTCGTTCATGGAAACGCGCCGGCGTCGCGGCCAGACTGGGGTTTACAGCTGCGCAGGCGGCCTGCGTTTATCTTTGCTCAGCGGACGCAAGGAAAAACAGTTCTCATGTGCGGTTGGTCTCGATCCGATCGCTTGATCCTGCTTGCTACACGCTCTCAGAAGGGTACCTCGCTGGATGGCACTCTGTGCTGCACGCTACAGCTCGATCTTCGATTCGCCTTCTTTCTTGCAGTCGAGATTACAACCGCCAGAGCTCTGACACCGATTCGATCATCACCGCGGCCACCCGAGCAACACAAGGGAAACCTCCAAGCGCAGGAGTTGCTTTCCTGGTTGCTCCGCACTCTGCGTGGAGCGACTAGCGACGATTCGCGGTTAGCTTCTGCCAAGAATCGACAAACAATCGATATGACGGCTTTCTGTGTCATTGCATGTCATTGTTTGTCCTAGAAAGCTTCAAGGCCAGATTGCGCGGGACATGGTTCGCTGCAATTTGACGCAATCACTGACTGCGGTGGTCCTTTTGCTCTTGAGGGACATTACCTCAAGTATTCTGAAACCTGAATCCTCCAGGGAACCAGCACTTCAAGTTTCCTACGTTCGTGATCCCTGAAGCTCAGAAGCCAAGATCCGCTTGCTTGTTGTTTAGCAGCGCTACACTAGCTCAGTAGCTGCCACATCATGCCTGAACGGATGTTTTTCTCCACGCGCATCGGGTGCACCAGCCCAGCTCTTCAGGTGCTACGCTTCACATCGCTACCTCAGACTGCCTGCGTATGGCTTTCGTGCAGGAAGCCCACGCCTGAGATGCAAGCTTCTTGGTGTCTCAGCTTGGGCTTCAGCTTTGGCTGGGCTCCCGGCTCTTCGGGGCTCAAGTACTTGGCCGCCCGAGGGTGGCGTTCCATGAGCTCGCCAAGAGCTCCTGGCAATCAGAGATCGTCTGAAGTCGTAAAACTGCAGAATGCGTCAGATATGTAAAGGCAAAAAGTTTCTTGCTTGCTGTCCTCCCCTCAAGTAATCGCGTTTGTCTGACGACCTGAAGCCACAAAGATGCGTGACGGGAGCACGACACGTCATGGAGCTTTCCCGCAAAGCTGCTTCTTGCTTGTCGCTCTCAAGACGCCCATCATTCCACGCGATGCAACTTTTGTAGCTCACTCTCTGCATACGATCCAGACACGGGCCACGCAGGGCGGCCAGAATCTGGGGTGGCGCTGCGGCAAGTGCCGCCGCCGCCAACGTCACTGAGTCGGCGTCCAAACTGGCGGGGAGGACCAGTTGCTTGAAAGTGTATCCACACGCTGTCACACATGCAAGCAGCAGGAAAGGTGATGGCCTTTGTGAGCGCCCCTGCCTCAGCGCACTCGACTGGAGCCATGCATCCGTGCACTTCCGTGCACCGAGCAGTGACAGTTTGCGCAGAGGAGTACTGGCTTTCAGCATTGCAGAGCATTGCTGCAAAATTGCTGCCGCGGTGCTGCACAATCTGGAGCACCGCACCCACCTCACCAGCCGCAGCGCAGCAAGCGGCGGCGCAGTGGAAGCTTACAGCATCAACAGAGCCCTCGGCACCTCGGGCCCACAGACAGAACCTGACATCCCTGTGCGAAGACTGCAGCTCTCAGAGGGCTCAGAGCCCGGCAAACTTCATGAAGATGGGTCACAAGCTTGCGCCACGCTGATGCCGTAAACGATGCCAGGCACGTGTTGTGTTCCTGAATTTCGGCCGAGTGTCCGACCATCTTGCATTGAGCAACTCATGGAGCAATAGTGGCACCGCGTGCACATGCGTGCAGCGCCAAGGCTCCGCGGTGTCAGGCCGCAAGCTGCGAAAGGCCTCTGGACTGAATGGAAAGAAGAACACAAGCTCAGAATTGCACAGAGAATCAGGGAGCCATTGTGGTCTTCTCTCGTGTATTCCCCCCTCCCGCCCCCCCCCCGCCCCTCCTGCATCTGCAAGGCGGCCACAGCGTTCCTCCACCTTCACATTGCCCGTCCATTCTACACTTTCGCTGCTTGAACTGACAAGAACTTACACATACTTACACTTACTTGCACTCTATTCTTTGCTTTGTAGAAGTGTTGTCATCTATACGACTGGGCACTATATTGGGATCACCTCGCCTCTGCGAGTCGGCAAAGGCTGCCAGCTGCTCATTGTAGCAGAGAAGGTCTCGTGGCACCTGAAAAATCCAACCAGGTGCGTTTTGGCCCTCCACAAGCCCCAGCATCAGCATGCGGCAGCTTGCTAGCTCCGATTTGCCCTCCTGGGCCTGCCAGCACGCCAGGGCGGCGGAGATGCCCAAGACCCGGCGCCAATGCCCCGCGCGCCTCGCAGCAGCCATTGCCGCTGTGGCGGCAGAGGTCGTGGCCCGCGCTCCTCTGGAAACCAGAGGCAAAGGTGACGATGGCTTCGGCGCCTCCCCGCTCGCCTGTACACCCCTGGCCCTACAGGTTTTCCTGAGCAGAGGTCGAGGGTGAAGAGCTGGACCGCAACTTCCCATTGCAGATCTTCACCTCTTGTCACTCGGACTCAAAGAAAGCTACTTCAACTTGGCCCTACGTAGGCACAGACACATGAAGAAAACACATCAGCATCAGGAACGTTTCAGAGTCAAGGGGCTGCAGGCAGCTAAACTTCCGGCCAGGGTTATTGCATCGGGGCGAACAGAGCGCCGGATGCGTCTGGCTGTCTCTGCGGCATGCTCCCAGCTTTGACCTTCAGAGGGCGAATGGTAAATAAAATAAGCTTGGCATCAGCCTGGCGCTTTGGATCAGCTTGCAGCTCCGAGAGGCCCAAGCTCTTGATCACTGAATTCAGCTGGATCACATTCCGGGGCATACCTTCCTGTCGCGAAACCAGATTCAGATGTCAAAAGGCAAAGTGTTCAAAATCAGGGTCCCTTTCACTTACCTTGAATCCTAGAATGATAAGCCACCCTCCACAAGCAGCATCCGAACTTTGACGGTCTGATTGCCGCACGCACCTGACCGAACCGCGTCCAGGCATCGACGGCCCGGCGCCAGCGCCCTCCCTCAGCCAAAGCCTCGTGACACGCGGGGCAGCGACAGCTCTTCCATGCTCTTCACGAACACGTGTCCAGCGCCAGCGCGACAAGAGAAGCAAAGGAGATGGGGAGATCGCCCTTTGAGCACTGCTGTCGAAACTAGAGTTTAAAACGAGATCTACTGCTGCAATCTGGCTGCGATTTAAAGGAATCTACGACGGCCTGCAGCAGCGTTGTCATGCTCACAGCATCTCGGCGGAGGCGTGCCTCCCATATGCTCGTGCACAGAGGGATGGGCACAGTAACAACGTCCTAGCCAGCTTCACAAAGCAACTCTTCCCCGCGTCCACCTCTCCCGTCTCGTCCAGCAGCTTCGTCGCCAAAGGCCAGTTGGCAGCAGCAGCCGCTGCATCGCTAACAGCGTTCCGTGCCACGAGGTCAGGCTGTACATTCCTGAGCGAGCAAGAGGGAGAAAGGAATTCGTGCTGGGGAAACAGAGTCTCAGCCAAGGTTCAGGTCTTGCATCACCATGACAGAGCGAAGAGCCGCCGACCAAAATGCATGCAGACTGCAAGCTGTGATCCTTAGGGTTCTTGGTGGTCCTTTGGTGCTCCTGGGGCTGTTCGAAGCGTTCGGCGGGTTTGCCAGAAAAGACAAGCCACAGGGCACCGAGGCTGACGACGGTAGGAAGGATGGTGTGCCAGCGCATGTCATCCTCACACACCGAGGCGGAAGCACTGGGAGACGAGAGAAAAGGGAAGGCAAAATGGGAAAGGAAGCTGTGATCGGCCGTGTGGCCAGCAAGTGGCGGCTCCAGTGCCACTGCCCCGCACTGCCTGCACCGCTGTTGGCCTCAGCCGCTTCCTAAGGGAATCTCGATAGTCAAGCCTCCAACCATACGACATCGTCAAAACATATGCAGTGCGGCACACGTCTGAGTGCAACTGAGACACTGCATTGAAAGGCACAGCCTCAGTATTACAATCAGAGCCCCAAAAAGGACCATAGTTCAGAGAATCCCCCCCAGGTACCATGCACCAAGGGATGCCAGTCCGATCAATCCAGGGGACACTGGCTTCAAGACTCGTGGCGAAGATGCTCCGCAGGAGGGTGAGGCCTGCCTGCCACCTGCTTGCTCTGCTAGGGTTGCTTGGGGCGTATAGATGGGGGGTTTAGGGCTTAGGGTTTGAAGGGTTTTGGGTTCAAAGTTTACTTGATACTAGCTGCCTTCTCGCTTTCGAGCAGGCACCCAGCGCGGCGCTCCTCAGACAGAGGGACACCCGCAACAAGCTGCTTGTGGATCCAGGCAATGCAAAAAACGACGACACAGGATCCACAGGCTTCAGCTCCTGGAGACCATCGTGGCTCGCAAGCCTGGGGTGTTGATGGGTGGTTTGTCGGGATGCTCAGGTTCTCCGAATTGTTATCTCGCTTTCTGCCTCGCTGGAGCAGCACGCTGAGCAGGCACAGGGACTCGAGCCATCCTTGGACATCAACACCGTGTTTTTTCGACGAAATGCGCCAAAGAATTCTTCGTGGGCCCTGGAGATGTTGAGATGTTTCGCCTGGAGTCGAGACTGTCGGCCGTACGCACCGACTGCTGTGTTGTACCTCGTCGAGACGAACTGGTGATGCAATTTCTTCCGGGCTTCCGGGTGACGAACTCGCAATGCCCAAGCCTTCACCCAGGCTGTTTGATGCTTGGTTGCCAGGTTGCGCTTCGACGTCCTGGAAGACCGTCGACATGCTACCGGAAGAGCCATGAGAAGTCAGGCTGGCTGGAACATTGGCCAGCAAGCTGGCACGTTGTAAGATGGGCGTAGCAAGGGGCGCTTCTGAAGGCATATCTTGAGCCGAGCATGGATGTTCGGGAGTGATCTGCCATTCTTGTGCATACCTCCTCTGGAAATCTCAGGAACACTTGCCGCATGAACTAGAGGCCGGGACAGCTCGTTGATGGGTTTTCCGAGCTGAACACAGCGCTCGATGGCCTTTCCAAGCAACATGCACCCTTTGTAAAGGAACAAGGTCAAGCCAGGAACCCAAAAACAATCCGAATCACAACAGTGCCGGAATGAAACCCCCACTTTAAGATCCATTCCGTATGCACATTTTATAGAAGAGTATATAAGAAGGTAATAAGGCACGAGCCGCCGTACGCGCCGCAGTATATACGCGCCGCAGTCCCCTCGGGCGCCGCTCCGGCTCTGTCCTCCCCGTACTACATTTGTACTACAATGCAACGAAAATCCCTCCGCTTCCCGCGCCGCCGTACGCGCCGTCGCACGCGCCGCAGTCAGCTCTCGCGCCCCTCCGGCTCATGTCCTCCCTATACTACATTTGTACGAAAATCCCTCCGCTTCCCGCGCCGCCGTACGCGCCGTCGCACGCGCCGCAGTCCGCTCTCGCGCCCCTCCGGCTCTGTCCTCCAGTACTACACTTGTACTACAATTCAACGAAAATCCCTCCGCTTCCCGCGCCGCTGTTCGCGACGTCGTACGCGCCGCAGTCCGCTCTCGCGCCGACCCGGCTGTCCTCCCAGTACTACATTTGTACTACAATTCACCGAAAATCCCTCCGCTTCCCGCGCCGCCGTACGCGCCGTCGCACGCGCCTCAGTCCCCTCTCGCTCCCATCCCCCTTTCGTTTTCATCCCCGTTTCGTTTTCATCCCTGTGTCGTTTTCATCCCCGTTTCGTTTTCACCCCGCGGCTCTGATCTCCCCGCTTCGTTCATCCCCGTTTCGTTTTCATCCCCGTTTCGCTTTCACCCCGCGCCGCCATTCCCCGGTATCGCGCTCTCGCGTTTTGAACCTAAACGAGAACCCAACATCCTGAGATGTTTTTGGGAGAAAGGTAAGGGCCTTAACTTCACAGACTTGGGCCCTCGAGAGCTTAAACCTAGGAGTTTTACAACGGCTTAGGTCGGAGCTTAAAGGCTTGGAGGCCTTGGAGGCCTTGGAGGGCGGTTTAGGGATCCTAGAGGCCGCAGTTAACGCCTTGAAGAGCCTGAGTGGCCGCCTGAGTTTAAGCAGCCTTTGAACAAAACCGAGATTTAGGGGCCTCAAGGCATTTAGACTCTTTAAGGGCCTCTGGGCCGTGAGGCAGTCCCTACTAAAGAACTTCAAGGTTTTAAGAACACGGGCTCATAGGAGCTTTGAGAGGGGTTGGGAGGATTAAGAGCTTTAAGAGATGCAGGCTTTGAAGCTCAGCGACTTTAAGCAAGGTGAGGGGCCGGAACGAAACTCAGAGACTTTAAGGGAGTTTCGGTGCCTCAAAGCCTCAAGAAGCCTGAAATCCTTCTGGGATTTTAGTGAACTCAAGAAGCTCAGAGGCCTTCAGGGGGCTCAGGGCTTTAGGGAGTTTAGAGGCCTGAAGAAACTTAGAGAGCCTCAAGGAGCTTAGAAGAAGCGATCTTAGCAAGCTCATACAACTTAAAGAGTTCAGCGGCCTCAACGAGCTTAGCTTTAGATGCTCTATGTGGCTCAAGTGCCTAAAGGAGGCTTAGAAGCCGTTTGCAGCTTAGTAAGGGGTCTTAAGTTTTCCTTTCTTTTTCGCCCCATAATCCATGCTGGGTCCGCTTTCAGACAAGCTCAATTTCTGTCCTCCGCATCCCGCCTCCTTCCCCTCTCCTCTCCTACCCCCGTTCTTAAACCCACCATCAGCGTTTCAGATGGGTAAGAGTGTTTTTTTTTGTTCCGTACGCTTTTTGCTCAGCACGCCTTTTGTAACTCACGCGGCTGGCCGAGCAAAAAAAACACTCCGGGCGCGTTTTTTTGTTCGGAACGCGGCTGGCCCAGCAAAAAAAACACTCGCGCGTTTTTTTTGTTCGAGACGCGGCTGGCCCAACAAAAAAAACACTCGGGGGCAGCCGGGGCGCGTTTTTTTTGTTCGGCACGCGGCTGGCCCAGCAATAAAACACTCGGGGGCGGCCGGGGCGCTTTTTTTTTGTTCGGCACGCGGCTGGCCCAGCAAAAAGAAAAACACTCGGGGGCGGCCGGGGCGCGCTTTTTTGTTGTTCGGGACGCGGCTGGCCCAGCAAAACGAAAAACACTCGGGGGCGGGCGGGGCGCGCTTTTTTTTTGTTCGGCACGCGGCTGGCCCAGCAAAAAGGAAAACACTCGGGGCGGCCGGGGCGCGTTTTTTTTTTGTTCGGGACGCGGCTGGCCCAGCAAAAAAAATCACTCGGGGGCGGCCGGGGCGCGATTTTTTATGTTCGGGACGCGGCTGGCCCAGCAAAAAAACACTCGGGGGCGGCCGGGGCGCATCCTTTTTTAAAGGGGTGGAGATTTTTTAGTTGGGGGGGATCTTTTTTTGGCGGGGGGGGGGGTCGTTTTCTTGGTTTTCCCAGGAAAAAGCTACATTGTCCATATCTTCCTATGACTCATACTATTTTTCGTAGGATTTTCCTATTGATTCTTTCTTTTTGGCTCGTTTTCTTGGTTTTTCTTAGGAAAATGCTACAATCCCTCTATATTTCATAGCATTCATACTACTTTTCGTAGGATTTCTTATTAATGTTTTTCTTTGGTTTGTTTTTTGCTTTTTCCGAGGAAAAAGCTACATTCCCTCTATATTTTCATAAGAGTCATACTACTTCTCGTAGGATTTCTTATTCAGGCGCAGCCCACCCCCCCCCCCCCCATTTGCAAACACAATGCTCACATGATGAGTTTCAACAAGTTTCTTAGGCTTGGAAGCACGCTTTGCAAAGCTTAAACGAAGCCGGGGGGTTGGGGGGGGGGCAGCTCCCCCCCCCCCCACCCATTTGCAAACACAATGCTCACATGCAACAAGTTTCTTAGGCTTGGAAGCACGCTTTGCACGGTTTCAACGAACCGGGAGGGTTGGGGGGGGCGCAGCCCCCCCCATTTGCAAACACAATGCTCACATGATGGGTTTCAACAAGTTTCTTAGGTTTGGAAGCACGCTTTGCACGGCTTAAACGAAGCGGGGGGGTTGGGACAGTGCTCACATGATGGGTTTCAACAAGTTTCTTAGGCTTGGAAGCACACTTTGCACGGCTTAAACGAAGCGGGGGGGTTGGGGGGGGGGGGGCGCAGTCCCCCCATTTGCAAACACACTGCTCACATGATGGGTTTCAACAAGTTTCTTAGGCTTTGAAGCACGCTTTGCGCGGCTTAAACGAAGCTGGGGGGGTTAGGGGCGCGTTTTTTTTTGTTCGGGACGCGGCTGGCCGAGCAAAAAAACAACACTCCGGGCGTTTTTTTTTTTGCTCGGGACGCGCCCGGTCACTCGCTCACTTGCGGGCCGGGGGTCGTGTGGGCCTTCCTTCAGGGGCGCGTGTTTTTTTTGGTTCGGGACACGGCTGGCCGAGCAAAAAAGGGCCGGGGGTCGTGTGGGCCTTCCTTCAGGGGCGCTTTTTTTTTTTGTTCGGGACGCGGCTGGCCGAGCAAAAAAAAACACTCTGGGCGCGTATACATTTTCTTTTGCTCGGGACGCGCCCCGTCACTCATTCACTTGCGGGCCGGGGGTCGTGTGGGCCTTCCTTCAGGGGCGCGTTTGTTTTTTGTTCGGGACGCGGCTGGCCGAGCAAAAAAAACACTCCGGGCGCGTTTTTTTTTTGCACGGGACGCGCCCGGTCGCTCACTCACTTGCGGGCCGGGGTCGTGTGGGCCTTCCTTCAGGAGCGCCTTTTTTTTTGTTCGGGACGCGGCTGGCCGAGCAAAAAAGAACACTCCGGGCGCGCTTTTTTGCTCGGGACGCGGCTGGCCAAGCAAAAAGAAGGAAAAGGAAAAGAGCTGGCCACGGGAGTTTGTTCTTTTTTGCTCGGGACGCGGCTGGCCGAGCAAAAAGAAGGAAAAGGAAAAGAGCTGGCCACGGGCGTCTTTTTTTTTGCTCGGGACGCGGCTGGCCAAGCAAAAAGAAGGAAAAGGAAAAGAGCTGGCCACGGGCGTGATTTTTTTTGCTCGGGACGCGGCTGGCCGAGCAAAAAGAAGGAAAGGAAAAGAGCTGGCCACAGGCGTGTCTTTTTTTGCTCGGGACGCGGCTGGCCGAGCAAAAAGAAGGAAAAGGAAAAGAGCTGGCCACGGGCGTGTTTTTTTTTGCTCGGGACGCGGCTGGCCAAGCAAAAAGAAGGAAAAGGAAAAGAGCTGGCCACGGGCGTTTTTTTTTTGCTCGGGACGCGGCTGGCCGAGCAAAAAGAAGGAAAGGAAAAGAGCTGGCCACTGGCGTGTTTGTTTTTGCTCGGGACGCGGCTGGCCGAGCAAAAAGACGGAAAAGGAAAAGAGCTGGCCACGGGCGTGCTTTTTTTGCTCGGGACGCGGCTGGCCAAGCAAAAAGAAGGAAAGGGAAACGAGCTGGCCGAGAAAAAAAAACACAGGTTCCGCGTTTCAGACAAACTCCCAGCCCTTGCCCACCTTTCCTCTTCACTCCATGACCGCTGACAATGCCAGCTGCCAAAAGAGCCCGGATTACACGCGCACAGCCCAAAAGTTGTAACATGGCAACCCTAAACTTCTCCGGACGCGGATTCTTTTGTGTAGCTTTCCAGGTTCCATGGAATGCTGAAGTGACTTGATTCTAGAAATTCAAGTTTTCATGGACGCTGTGTCCTTCGGCAAGTTCAACTGAAAGATTCAGGTTTTCAGGAAAAATAATCCATCGGAGTGATCAGTTCAAAATGAATATCATCATACAATCTTTTGGGGGGAGGGGCGAGCTCCCGGAATGTATCGCAGAAATGAAAAAGAAGTATACAAAGCCAAGACTTCTCACACTCGTTCGC